AACTGCCAGTCATCCGCTCCTCCTCACACTTATAAAAACACATGGAATTAATTTCAGTATAGCAAGTGTCCCAGTGGAGCTGAGTGGAAGCAGAAAAGCATGAGGAGCAGCAAAAAAGCTGGCAGCAATGCAAGGGTCCTGTACACAGCTAAGGAATGCTAAATAATGCTGTAGCTCCACTAAGTGGCTTCATGTTGGTTTTTCATGGTTAAATATACCGTCCCGCTCAAAAGAGTTACTGTACGCCAGAGGAGTTCTAAACATAGCAACGATGCACCTGCCGATGAATCATCAGGTTACCAAGACAAACTTGTGTATGGGAAGTATACGCTTATGTTTATAGCCTATTTGCAAATAGCAGTGGCTGCTTTTATATACAACAGGTCTGCCCCCTACCCCCAAGAAAGGCTTTAGCTAGCAGGGCTAGTGGACAGTGACGCTCTACTGACCAATAACGTGACAATGTGGTACTTGTCACACTGTCTGGGGAAAGGCAATGAGTGACAGTGTCGTATTAAGTCTGTAACTGGAAATGTTGAAAATAGGAGCTCTGGACAGTAGTGATAGACCTCCATGGGAAAAAGCAAACACGCATAACCCCACCATCCTCTTCACCCGTGCAATGTGACAGGCATGTATCCAGAAGTAACTTTAGAAACAGTAAGTCTCACTCTTGAAAGGAAAAAATCAGACTTGCATTACATACCTCAGCCTGAAAAATAAGAAGAAAACTGAACTCTAAGAAGAAATCCTGTAAATTTCTAAGACAGCATTAAGAAGAGAGAGATGCTGACCAGCCACAGAAGAACTGACCATTAATTAACCATACAGGTTCAGGGTTCCTAGGAGCCAAGTATTTTGATGATCAACAAACACATTTAAAACCCTGATCTTGCAATAGGATAGGCCTTTTGCTTTTGCAAAGCCTCATTTAAGTCAAGGAGACTCTTCCTGCCCACTCAGTCCTTGGACTACAGCCCGAGTTTCCGCATTCTTTTTGTTCTCCTGTCAAATATTTGTATATGGACACTAATCCTCATGGAATTCACTTCGTAGTAAGACAGAGCTCCATTGATTAACAGTGGTCAATATTCTGGCCTGTGATGTAGTAATATGTAGTTCTCCATTCCCTTAAAGGCACCTTTATTTTAAATAGGAACTCAAGTATTTCTTTTAATTTTAATCTTTGAAACTTTTCAGAACTTAGCTTTTACTTTGCATAGGGATTCTTGTTCTATTTTTAACACACCATTTTTATGTTAAAAGCCAGATACATCAGTTCTATTGGCAAAGTTCATTGATAGAATATTGTTAAGTAAAAATCCCACCCACAATCAAAAGGATGCTAAACTTTGCATGAAATTCTATCAATGGCCACTTCTCTGGTGAAAATGAGGATGCTGCATATATTCAGAAGGCATTCTGGGACTTGCTCTTTTTAAAGTATATTTTACATATAGATGGTAGTTTCAACTGCTTTACAAAATATGTTCTTCACAATTGAGCATTAAGTTTAAAATTTTTAATAGTTAACTGAATAACCGATATTTTAGTCTAGGCATTCAGTGTTCTATTGATAACACCTACTTTCAAATATTTAACAGCGGCAGCCAAAATTCTACTAGTAAATTTTTATGGCTATTTGTCAAATTGCTATTGTGTCTACAGTCACTCCAATGCAACCAAAGCCTTCTAAGTTTAGTCCAGGAGCCTTTTTAGATTAAAAAAAAGGAATATTTTCTCCATCTATCAGCAAAAACATACCAGGTTTTATTCATAGAAAAGTTATATATTGCTTAGCTTTATTTCTACAGGATAACTAGTTCATTCTTTCAAAAACCCCTGGCTTTGTCACAGCCTCTTTGCTGTGAAAAAATGAAGACCTCATCCTTCTATGAATAGAAAATGGAACATTAGCTCAACTATAATAAATAACACTTTGTTACTTACATTACTATAATAATAGTATATTCTTTATGTTAACATCAGGTATATTTTCACAAAAGAAAAAACAATGCACAGCTACTTACAAACCGCT